AAAATTAAAACCGGAGAGCGGTTGATTTGCTGTCTGTTGCAAGCTACGTTTGCCGCTTTTTCCGACTGCAAGCCACTGTGCCAATTTCAAAATTTGCTCGCCGGTTAGAAATGTGCAATGTGAAAAATGCATTTTAATCACACACAAACAAACAGGATGAAAAGTGATGGGTATGGTTAGTGAAATAGACCTGCTTGTAAATATGCATAAAACGATGTCAAAAGATCTATGCAAACATTCTTGCAAATGTTGGTGCAGTTTCCCATCCTAAAACAGCGGAAATGGGGTGGAATTGATCATGATTAATTTCCTTCCTTCCTTCCTTCCTTCCTTCCTTCCTTCCTTCCTTCCTTCCTTCCTTTATTTCTTTCTTTCTTTCCCCAATAAGATAAAATGGAAATAAATTATTTCTACCCTTGCAATGCTTTTGATTGTTAAAAAAAAACTTTGAATAGTAAATTTGATAAGGCCAACTCTCATTTTACCCATGTTAACATTAACGTATCCTGTTTGCAACTTCACCCATGAATCTTTAGTTTAATCAGCTTCCCAAAGGTGGAAATGAATGGGTTTGATCTATCTGCCATGGCGGCAGGAGAGACATTTTGGGGAAGACACATCTGGGTTGTTAATCCATTTCCTCTTCATTTCTTGTTGCTCGGTTTCCCGTTCTCTCCTTCCTAAAATCCACTGTGGGAATGATCCCAGGCAATTGTCTTAGGGAATATAATAATGTGGCTGACAGAGTCACAGACGCGGCATAGGAGTGAGTGAGTGTGTATGTTCTTGCACTTAAGCTATGGCTAAGCCTGGCTTATCTCTGACTCTGTCCACGAGGAACAGCTGGTTTCCAGAAGTTGTGGGTACTTCATCCCTGGAGGTTTTTAAGAAGAGATTGGACCATCATTTTTCTGGAATGGTATGGAGCTTCCTGCTTCAGCAGCGGGGTAGACTAGAAGATCTCCAAGCTCCCTTCCAACTCTGTTATTCTGTTATCCTGCTACCCAGGTGTCTGATAGAAGCATGTCTAATCTCCAAGTTGCAGTTAAGCAGAGGCCTAAATCTAAATGACAGGGACTAGCAGCACAATCCCAGTTTTATCTCGGCAGGGATGGCCCTGTGCGTAGCTTGCAGAAATGTTTTTATCTAACTTGAGATATTTCATAGATCAACCTGAACCCCCATTGGGAAAGCAAATGCCAACTGTCAAACCCTGTTGTGTGTCAAGGCGGTGGTGGATTTGGGCACAGTGAGAGGGTCTCCCCACTTCCTAACCGAGTGTCCTCTTTGAAGATCCCGTGAGTCTCCCTGCAGCTCTCAGCCTTCACCAGTCCTGGCTGGAGATGATGGCCACGGGGTGTCCATGCCATCTAGGAAGCTGTGACGTTTACGAGCCTCAAAGCAATGGTCAGATGTTCCACCCAAGCCTTCACCCCTCGCTGGGCCCACTGGATGCCAAGTGGCATCTTTGCCCTCCACCCCTCCATTCTTCCTTGCTGGCATGCACCAGCCAGGGCTTACTTTCTGATATTTATGACTTTTTTTGTTCAAGGTTGTTTTGGAGCCAGTAGTACGATGAGATCAATCCCTTGGAGGTCTTTTAATTGGGCTTCCAGCAAAACTTCCTCCCTCCCTCCCCACCCACCACCCCGCCTTCTTCTCAGCCAGCTCTGCCCCCAGGTGCCTCTTCTTCTCTGGCTTCCCCTAGAGCGTGGAAACAAGACTTAGCTGTCAAACAAGTCTTTTTTTCCCCCTCGACCCATAACATCTTGCCCAACGAGCAAATCTCTCAGCAGAAAAAGCAGGTCAGGATGCTAAACCTAGCGGGGAAAGTAGTAATTTGTGCACCAGAAGTATTATAAGAAAGGGGCAACGTCTGTTGGTGTCTAAGGGGTCAGCGTAAGAGATAGGCCTGCTCCGGGGGGGCGGGGGGGGACACAGAAGTCTAGGGGACCCCCTAGAGATGGATGAAAACAGGCCCTTACATTGGGATAGGCAGCCATTAGCTCCTGCTTTAGAAGCAGATGATTTCATAGAATAACAGAGTTGGAAGGGACTTTGGAGGTCTTCTAGTCCAACCCCCTGCTTAGGCAGGAAACCCTACACCACTTCAGACAAATGGTTATCCAACCTCTTCTTAAAAACTTCCAGTGTTGGAGCATTCACAATTTCTGGAGGCAAGTTGTTCCACGGATTAATTGTTCTAAACTGTCAGGAAATTTCTCCTTAGTTCTAAGTTGCTTCTCTCCTTGATTAGTTTCCACCCTTTGCTTCTTGTCCTGCCTTCAGGTGCTTTGGAGAATAGCTTGACTCCCTCTTCTTTTTGGCAGCCCCTGAGATATTGGAAGACTGCTATCATGTCACCCCTGGTCCTCCTTTTTATCAGACTAGACATACCCAGTTCCTGCAACCGTTCTTCATATGTTTTAGCCTCCAGTCCCCTAATCATCCTTATTGCTCTTCTCTGCACTCTTTCTAGAGTCTCCGCATCTTTTTTACATCATGGCAAACAAAACTGGATGCAACATTCCAAGTGTGGCCTTACCAAGGCCTTATAAAGTGGTCTTAACATTTCACGTGATCTTAATTCTGTCCCTCTGTTTATGCAACCTAGAACTGTTTTGGCTTTTTTGACAGCTGCTGCAAACAGCTGGCTCGTATTTCAGATCCAGAATCCATGAAGGTTTGGGAAGAGTCCCACACTGGACATTCCGGAACCAGAAGGGACCTGCTGGTCATTGGTGGCCATGTTGGATCGATGCCTTCATTTAAACCAGATTTTTATTCAGAAACATAAGCTTCCTTATGGGGACACACACTGCTGATTGGATTGTCCAGAGGTCCCAATTCAGCTAGAGCTGAGAGTGAACTCACCGCTAACATAGACAACATTAAACTAGGTCAAGGATTGGCTTGCTTTGCACTTGGGACACCTTCTGATCAAACCCCGCCCTCCCCTCCATTCCAAGCTCCGTATCTGAAGCCTGCCAGCCCCCCTCTCCACTGCCCCACTATTTTGGCCTCCCAAAAACTGGCTTTGTGAAGCTTCTTCCTGGTCCCTTGACCTCTCTTTCCTTCACTCTGTCTGATGCCTGCTTAGCAATCTAAGGATGGCGAATCCACACACACGCCCCCACTCCATCCAGAGACTACTCCCCATTTCAGGAAGGCCCCCTCATCACCAAGCCACCTTCTTCCTCCTCGTCATTCACGGCTCCTCTCCACAACAGCAGATCCATTTCCTTCATCCGTCATCTTTTCAGAATAACAGGCAGCAGAAGAGCTATTACACCCGATAGTCGTTTCTTGCCCCTGTCCTGGTCTCCTCATCCTCCCATTGATTTCAACAAAACGATTTGCATCCATGGGAAATCCACCTCTCCTGGAGCAGAGCTCTTGCTGAGACCTGTCTGTTATTCTTGGTCCTCCCCGTAAGGCTCAATCTCACAGCAGGTTTCAGGTTGGGTCGCTTTGGGTTTCAAGGTCCAGGCCAGGTGTGCGACAGCTACCTGACTCACCCCGCCTCCTCAAACTGCCAAAACCGGTGAAGATCAACCTTTGGGAGAGCTGAGTCATCTCCACCATCCCTGACGCTGTGACCTTCCCTTTGGCCTTGGGTTTTCCCGAGCGTTTGTTGCAACCACACTCAATGCTGGGGACGTACGGAAGGTGTCCACGGTATCTGATTTTGCCTCACTCTCATCCAACCAAGGTTGGATCCCATACAAGAAATGAATCCGACTAGGCTTGAAGGCCACAGTTGACGGTTTCAGTGGCACCTTGCAAGGAGCACGAGGGGGATTCTTTCCCCCCCCCCAACCGCTTGTTTAAAAAAGGAAATATGCAGGTCATCCTTAACTTACAGCAGTTGGTTTAGTGGCCATTCGAAGTAACAAGGCACCGAAAAAAGTGACCTATGAGCACTTTTCACACTTATGACCGTTGCAGCAGGTAATCAAAATTCTTGGCAACTGACTCGTATTTATGACGGGAGCAGTCTCCCAGGGTCACGTGATCCCCCCTTTTGTGACTTTCTGATGAACAAAGTCTATGGGGAAGCTGGATTCGCTTAACAGCCGGGTTACTAATTTAACAATTGCAGTGATTCGCTTAATAACGGTGGTCAGATAAGTCGTCAAATGGGATAAAACTCACTTAGCAACTCTCTTGCTTAACAACAGAAATTTTTTTGGCTCAATTGTGGTCGTAAGTTGAGGGCCACCTATATATATATATCTTGAAATAGATCTATACTAGTCTCCCTTTATTTCTTTATCAACGAAATATAAATTTGGTATTATATATATATATATATGTAAAAAGTTAAAATCTCGGGTGTTTTCCTGCGTCATTAAAAGTCTGTTAGTTGAAATGCTTAAAATCCTGGCTAAAATCCCAGTTTAAGATCCTCCAAAATCCCAACAAAACACTTTGTAAGGTCTTTTGAAACTCTGGCTAAAATCCTAACCAACACTTTAAAAGTTTTCTTTTTGGCAACGTTTCGACAAGCTCTCTAACTTGTCATCATCGGGCCCCTACTTTCAGTTTAGAAGCTGTGGGTATGCTGCGAGATTGGAGTTGTCGCCTTTCTGTGTTCGCTGCTGCTGACGTATGCTGGTTAGCCTGCAACTCTGTGTCCTGATTGGAGGGCAGCAGTTTTTTCTCCTGCTTCAATATCCTAGCTGCAGCCTGAGTGCGTGTTAAAGGCCCAGCTTTCTCTGGTTCCTTATTACTAACTGTCAACTGCAAAGAAGGAAGGATTCTGGTAGGCATCACAACACCGCTGATTGCTTGTTGAGATCTCAGCCTATCTTCTGGCTCGGTTCTCTCTCTCTCTCCCTATTGCTAGCTATCATCTGCAAAGAGGGAAGGACTCTGGCAGGCATTACAACACCACTGGTTGCCTGTTGGAATCTCTGCCTATCCTCTGATGTTAAAACTCGAGTTTCCCTCAGTGCAGGTCTCCAAATACTTGAGAACTTGGTTAATGCCTGGTTAGCAAAGACGAGTATTTGTCGCCCTTGGCTGCCTTCAGGTGCGTGGACTTCAACTCCCAGAATTCCTCGGGCAGCAACGCTGAAAGTAGCCAGGTTTGACACACACTGGCATAGATAACACTCAACTATGGTGATCCGTCATTGTATCCCGGTGGTGGAAATATTCCAGGTAACCTTTTCTCTCGTTTACTTGTAACTCTCTCTAGTTAACAAATACAATTTATTTCTATTTGCATATTCCCTCCAATTGAACTTCTGGCAGGAATCCTGACATCGCTGACACTCACGAGTCGAGCTCTCAAGAGCCACGTTGCCCTGGGTTCCAAACAGATCATGCTGGAAAGTTGCAGAAGTATTTTCTTACACACACACAGACACTGACGCACCCCCAGGAGACCGAAAGGCAAGTTTCTACTAACTGCAGCCAGGGGAGTTTTCAAATTGCTCCCGTTCCTTTGAAGCAGGGACTAGAAGGACATCACCAGAAAGCATACAAAAACACAGCTTCATTTCCAACCACTGCCGGAAACTCTGTTGGAAGAAATGTCCACCTGGGTTCGGTTCCAAGTGGGAAGAAAGACACTGGAAACATGGAGGCTCTTGGAAAGATGGTTTAATGGTGGACAGCAGGACCAGATGGGTTTTTTGGGTCCTGCTGTCCACATGGAGTGGAGAGAGGGATATATTTATACACTCTCTTGAGCCCTGCCATAAAGTTTCCTGTTCCTGTACAAAAAAATATATCCCATTGGCTGTCAGACTCCCAGGGGGCGGGGATTTTAGCTAACTTTGTAGGCTGTAGGGTAACTTGAGTCCCAGGCCTGGTTGAATCTTGCTGGGTGATGATATAATGAATGGGCTTTGGACAATTCCTATTATGGCTTAATGGCTTTATCCTGGTTTGGATCTTGAGTGAGGGCTAATCCTATCATATCCTGAGGGCCATATCTTTTGTGTTGTAGATAAACTGGCCCAGCCTTTTGTCTTGTAAATAACCAAAGTATCTGCTGGGGGCAGGGAGCTAGGGCTGAGTTTCTGTCTGCCTTAAGATTTCAATTTCTCTTTTAAGGGAAAATATTCCGCCTTTTTAATATTTCCTAGAATATTTCATTTTTCTTGGAGAGGGGTGGGTGCTAACTTCCTACCACTCGAATCTGCTTCCCCGGGCCAGAGCTGATTTGATTTCCAAATGAATCCAGTTTGCAGCTACCCCGATTTGCATGACGCATGCAAAATAAATTGCTATTTCTTTTTTTTTTTTTCTCGTCCTGCAGAGAGTCAACTTGCTTGTACTTTAGTGGGAATCCACACAGACTTTTCTTTTTCTTCCTTCTCTATCCAGTCCCGGTATTTGCAAAATTAGAAACAAATTCCCTCCCTCTCTCTCTCCCTCCCTCCCTCCCTCTCTCTTTCTCTCTCTCTCTTTCTCATGCTTTTTTTGCCTGCTTCCAAATGCTGCCTTTGAACAGGGTGGGGCAGTTAAGGGTCAAAAGCCGGTTTAAAAGTTTGTGAAAAATCAACACAGATTTTTATAAGCTTAGGGCTTTGCATGAAAAGGCGCTCGAAATATGCATTTTTAAATGCCTTCAGATTTTCACCCAGGATGTTTTTAATGCCTTCCTAAAATCCATACCACTGGTGGCGCACACGGTTAAAATCACCCCCAAATCAAACCATTTAAAAAAGCAACCATTAAATACGATGAAACAGATAAACCGCCCATAAAACTATAAACAATAAAACAAGAGGAAATCGACATGGATTTGGAAATTAATCCATACTTTTGCGCCCCCGGGAGAAGAGTCTTTCCAGGATCCAGGATCCACAAACTGGGAGTGTGAAAAGGAAAGGAAAGGAAAAAAAATAAATAAAATCAAAGCATCCGTTTGGAAAAGAGTATCGACTTATAAAACATGTCACAAATGTAACCGATTTCAAATCCCTTGAGATTAAAGTCAGGATTTGGCCTTGGGGTTTCAGACGCTTATAGAGTTACAGGTTGACCAGGTGGGGAGGGGTCTATCACCTTTGGAACATTTTGACCGTCTAAAAAGCATCTCCCCAATTAGCCACGTTTTTTAAAAGAGGAATTTTAAATAAGGCCGTGTCTCCTGCAGACCACGTTAAAAAACCCAGGGGGTCATTTTTCACTGGTTAATGGATTATTAAAAAGCATTTTTTTTTTCCCTTCCCCTCTGCAAGAGCAAGCAGGACACCACGGAGCTCCCTGTACTTTCCTTGTTGGGAAGATTAGCCCTGAGAGGGAGGGTGGACTAGATGACCTCAACAACCCCTTCCCCCCCCCTCTCCCCACCATTCCCCAGCCTGCGGTTGATCCTATGAAAATCTAGAAACTGCATTTCCCAGGCAGCTTCTTTTGACTGCCAATTTTTGCAGCTTGGTCCCTTAACTACAGATAGTCCTCAACGTACGACCAGAATTGAGCCCCAAATCTCTGTTGCTCGGCGAGACAGTTGTTCAGTGAACTTGGCCCCATTTTACAACCACTGTTGCCACAGTTTAACAACCGTCGTAAGCAGTGGTGGGTTGCCCCCCGGTTCGGACCGGTTCTATAGAACCGGTAGTAAAACCAGAGGGAGGCTCCGCCCACTGGCCCTGACGTCATCAGAACGCTTCTGTGCATGCGCGCTCAGCCCCTTTGCAAACCAGTAGTAAAGGTAAGTAGAACCCACCCCTGGTTGTAAGCATGAAAAACTGTCATAGGTCATTTGTGCCACTGGTAACTTTGAATGGTCGCTAAATGATTTACTGTTGTAAATCAAGGACTACCTGTCACATATCCGATCTAGGAAGAATTGAACAATCAGTCAGCCGCAATTCTTTTAATCGGGCAGTGTCTCTGAGCCTCAAGTCTACCTGTTCTGGCTGTTGTTTTTGAAGTTGATCTAAATGAAAGGGGGGAAGCATTATTTAGATCGTTCTCGACTTACAACGGTTCCTTTAAAGACCGTTTGGAGTTACAACAGCACTGGAAAAAAGTGATTTACGACCATTTTTCACACTCACGACCGTTGCAGCATTCCCCCCCCCCCCATGGTCACGTGATCAGAATTCGCACTCTTGGCAAACTGATTCATGTTTATGACTGGTCGCAATGTCCCTGGGGGGGTCACGCAATCTTATTTTGCGACCTTCTGACAAGCAAAGTCAACGGGGAAGCCAGATTCACTTAACAAACCAGGTTACTAACTTAAACAACTGCACTGATTCACTTAACGATTGTAGCAGGAAAGGTTGTAAAATGAGGCAAAACTCACTTAACAACTGTCTTGCTTAGCAACTTAAATTTTGGGCTGAATTGTGATCTTCAATCAAGGACTTAACTTGTAAGCAGGTCGCGCGTCCTGTATGGCATTTTATTCTGCTCCGCTAATTTTTTAAAATTTTTATTTTGGTTTTTTTTTTTTAAGTATTATTTCTTTTTTTTTTATTGAAAAAGTTTTTCAAATACAATTTCCCCCCCTTTTTTCCCCCCTCCTCCCTAACCCCCCTCCCCCTCCCCTCCCCCTGTGACTTCTTCATAATAAAACCCAAATTCATAACAGATTATATAATACTTTACCATCCACTTACTCCATCCCCATATAAGGGGTATTATTAAGTATTATTTCTTTTCTTTCCCTCCTGCCCTCCCCTGTTTTTTTTCGCCCCTCCCCCGGCTTAAATTTGCAAAGGGAATCCATTCACGGGCGAAAATCCATGAATTCTCAGCTTGCAAATTCTCTCTTGTTTGCTGGCTAAGAAGCAGGTGTAGCGCTCTGCCTTTTGAAAATAGCCCTGCCAATTTATTTATTTTTTTGAGGTGGGAGGCAGCATATTTTAAGAAGCAGCTTTGCTTTGTTCTCCTTCCATTTTATTATTTTTTTTTAAAAAAATGCTCTCTATTTTAAAAGAGTTCATTTAGGGAAAGAAACATATTTGTGCCGTAAATGCAGTCGGGTTGAATTTAGTCAAACAAGCTGCACTGGTCGCATTGTTCTGGGTACACCTGCGCCAGGCAGTTGGTGCTGTTTGCCATCCTGTCCAGCCCTCTTTTCTTTGCCATTTGAGCCCCATAATCTCTCTCTCTCTACACACACACACACACACACACACACACACACACACACACACACACAGAGCAGGCTGGAGAGACAGAAAATTTGTAAATCTGGGAACCTAATCCTTTGGTTACTCCCTGTCTAAGCCTGCTTCTTCAACTTCTTCCTTTTTTTACTTTGGTTGCGAGTTCACAATTTTCAGGCGGTCCGCCTCCAAATCGAAACACCGCTCTGATTCCAAACCAGTTTTATCCGCCACGATGCCCAGCTCCATTTATTTTTGACTACTGGTCCTGTTTTTTGGCACTACTTTTAGATTTTGGCAGGGGTTTGCTCTCCACGCTTGTTTCAATTTAGTTTCTGAACATTTCGTGACCGGATTAGGTAACGTCATCAGCAGTTGATGTCTTGTCCTATCCCTCTTTAGCGTATATATGTCTTTCGTCAGAGGTGGGTTTCAGCAGGTTTTGACCAGTTCTGGTGAACCGGTAGCGGAAATTTTGAGTAGTTCGGAGAACCAGTAGTAAAAATTCTGACTGGCTCCGCCCCCATCTATTCTCTGCCTCCCAAGTCCCAGCTGAACTGGAGGAAATGGGGATTTTGCAGTAACCTTCCCCTGGAGTGGGGTGAGAATGGAGATTTTGCAGTATCCTTCCCCTGCCACGCCCACCAAGCCACGCCCACCAAGCCACACTCAACAGAACCGGTAGTAAAAAATTTTGAAACCCACCACTGTCTTGTGTGGTGAGTTAGTCATGCGATTGGTTGTTTGTTTGGAGCTATATTTAAATATAGCAGCTGATTGGTTCTCTTCAAAGGTGGTATTCAGCCGGTTCGGTCCAGTTCTGGCAAACTGGTAGCGGAGACTGCGGGTGGGAACATAACGCCGTCCTATTTAGCCACGTTTTCGAGGCCGAGCGCATGTGTGGAAGGCACATACGCGAGCAAAGCCCATGCGCAGAAGGCTGGGCGCATAGCAGAAGGCTCATGCACAAAGTGAGCGTGCGCACGAGGGACGAAACGGTGATAAGAATATGAGAAACCAACCTCTGGTTCTCTTGTGATTTGGTCCTTTAAATGGTCTCGTTTTTTTACATATTCCTATGCT